CAATCACAGACAACTTGCTTTATCCGGTGGGTGACACCTTCAGAGTGACAAAGGTGGAAAGAAGCGCACAGAGACTGGTCCACACCAGAGTTGCAGAGAGGAAGTGTGCACTCATGGTTGTGATATCTTCACATATCTCTCATAGTATTCAATCTGCACTCACAGATTAGTCAATATTTACATGGATAGTAGTTTAATTGAATTAAATTCAACTAAGTTTATTTATATAGCGCAAATTCACAGCACACGTCAAGGCACTTTACAGAGACAATTCAACCAGATCATAACGTCTGATTGGTTCAAAGTGTTCAAAGGAACACCAGCTGATTGCATCGACTCATTGACTCAAAGTTAATCCGTTGCACCAAGCATGCTTGTAGCAACAGCGGAGAGGAAAAACTCCTTTTTAACAGGAAGAAACCTCCAGCAGAACCAGGCTCGGTGTGAGCGGCCATCTGCTGAGGCCGACTGGGGTTAAAGGAGACAGAAGCAGAGATACAGAAAAAAGATACAAAAGGCAGCTGTGAACCAGCTCCACGAAACATGCAGACAGGCTCTGAGCCAGCTCCCATGTCAGAGGATGAAGAGAGCACATTGTTTGCATGCATGTGTTTTAAACAAAACGCCTCATATGAGTATTTACTTATCTTTTTGTGTGAGAACAACGTGCAAGATCAGGAAAATTATGCATGTTAAAATTGCCAATCATAGAATCATAAGATTATCATGTTCTAGTTATGATGCTAAATAACAAAAAATACAAGCAGAACAAGACAAAACAAAGACAAAAGGACACCACCTGTCAGTAACCTGATTTGTACTGGAAGCATGATAATATGCCACCAGCTCATTTGTGCATGTGCAGCCAGATCTTCATTCAGGTAGCCATAAAATCATTATGGAAAGTGAAATGACTTATTCGTATCTTTAAATCACCACTAAACCACATCTTATAAAAAACTATTTAACTACTTCTCTGAGAGAATTGGATGTGTTTTACATTCTCTCCATTAAAACGCTTGTCTGATCATCATCGGACGTGCTGAGATATAAAACTCAGAATTACTACTTTTATTTAAAAATCCATAGCCGAAAAAATTAGCTGCTGGAAGGATCCCAGTTATTGAACAGAAAGGACGGAAAAGTATTTATTCTCTCAGAAAAAATGTATACCTTTTACACATTGTAGTTAAATACACTTTTTACAGTTAGGGAGAGGAAAAGAAAATATTTCTGTCTTTTTTATAAAACACAGTGGATGGCCACCTGTATGTATTTCTAGTTGCAAAAGAGCAAATAAGCTGATAGCCTGGATTGTGCTACCTGTAGGATCGGGTAGAAACACCTCTGCTCATCCTTTGCTTATGTGTAATAATCTCTTTGTAGTTTGGCTCATCTACAATAGGCCAGATCTAAACTACTATAAACAATTAGATCTGCAGAAAGGCTGCCCTTCCCTCCATCCACAACCTGTACCCGTCTATCACTGAAAAAAAAAGCTGCTCACACTTCTACCCTTTGGTTTTCTCTACACAGCACTGATGGTAAAAACAAACCAAAACAGAGGTAG